GGGGGGGTGCTGGGCAGACTCACGTGACGCGATCCTCGATGATGGAGTTGACGTTGAGGTCGCCAGTGACCTCACCGGCCTCGAGCAGCGAAAGGATGGCCTGGCCGGCGCTGAGGGAGATGGCCGCCGTGGGCGGGTAGGGGCCTTCGGTGCGGTTGGGGACGCTGAGCGTGCCGCTGAGGGTGCCTTCGATGTTGTTGTAGATGACGGCTCCCGCAGCACCTGCGGCGCCGGCGTAGGCCGCCTTCAGACCGAAGTCACAGGTGCCACGAGAGATCAGCGCGATGGCGCCTGACACCTCTGCAGGGAAGTCGGACTGTTCATTTTCTTGTCAGCTAATCGCGTTGCAGAACCAGGGACCAGAGACGAGAGGCGCTTACGGGTTCGCAGCCCAGATTCGACACGGCAACCACGGGGGCCTCGACCTGGCCGTTGGGCGCGTACGTCATCAATGCAGCACCCTGGTCCTCGCCGTTGATGGTGAAGGTGGCATCGCCGCCCGAGAAGGTCTCGACGAAGGGCTGGTACTGGACATCGTAGTACTCGTCCAGCTCCGCGATGAGATCGTAGAGGTACTTGGTGGTGAAGTTGTGCCCCTCGCTGCCGAAGACGCGGTTGCGGCCGGTGGTCTGGTAGGCGATGGCCTGCAGGTTCTCGGCGTGGGCGAGCAGCGCGGCGGAATCAATGTCGTTTTGGAGAGCATCCTGTTGCGCGCCGATGCTTTAGCACGTTTCACACCTCCAAACCTCAAACGAATCGGACGAGGGGGGATGGGGGGGCAAAAACACGCACCGACGTGACCAGCGTCTTGGCCTCGGACGCGGCCTGCACCGTGATCTCATTCGGCTGCTCCGGAGCGGCGCCCCAGTTCTCGACGTCCGGCTGCCAGTCCTGGGGGAATGTCTGGGGAACGCGACGCTGCAGCAGAGATGCCGGGCGGACGGCGTGCACGTGACCGGCAGGGGTCGAGGCGGAGGCCTTGCCGACAACGGCGGCCGCTGCCAAGACGGCGCTCGACTCGAGGAAGCGCATCTTTTGTCGTGACTTGGAGAAAGCGCAGAGAGAAGTAGGTCCGCACAATGTCGGGCCACCGTGGTACTCAGAGTGCTGCAGCTACGTATATATACTCGGCGGCCCCCCTCCTCGACTCTGATTGAGCAGAGGCAGAAACACATTGATACGGGGGTTCCACAGCTGCTTGGCGGTGCCGGGCTCTTGGGGCTCGCCGCGCCGTACCTGACGACAAAGTCGGGGTGCGTTGGCGTGCTGCATAGACGCGTTCCCGGAACAGGCAGGCCGATGAGGAGCAAACGAACGTGAGCGGCGATCAGCGGTGGTGTCGCCCAGCGGAAGGAAACCATCCAAGGCCGACGGCGGGCTTGGCACGCCTCTCGGCGGAGAGGGGGACCGGGGGGCGGACAGGCGGAGCGCTGGTGACCAGAGTGAAGTGGGAAGGAGATAAGAAACGCCCCGCCAAGCGGCCAAGCACGGTGCCGACGAGAGAGGCAGATGGATACGTCGGAACCCGCCTGGTGGCGGTCGGTTGGCGTGACCTCGTTGTCCTTTTTTACTCCGCCTTTTCGCGCGGTTGCGAGGCGTGGCGTCTTTCTTTCGTATTCTTGCTTTGTTGGAAAATTTTCGCAGATAGCACAGAGCCCACCGAATCCTCTCAGACAAGAAGACACAGCTCCGATGCCTTCACTGTGAGGAGGTGTGGCCCTTGCGCAACAAACTCCTCGCCTATGTATATCCGTCAATGCCATCCCGAGAGCGGAACTTCTTCCTCAGGGTCGGGAGGCACTTGATCCACGCGGTCTCAACGGGATCTCGGAAATGGATTCATATCCCTTACCTGTCCAAGAGTATATCATAACGCTGTCCGAGGTTCCAGTTTTATCTCCGTCATGGACACAACCTCCTTTTACCAATGAAAGCAGCAGGAGCAGCACCGGATCGCGTCCATCCAGACGGCAGCTGGCTTAGAGAACTGCCCAGCCTTTACTAGGTAGTTGTTGACTAGCTGCTGGCGAATGCTAGTCAGCGCAGCATCAGGGCCTGGCTCACCTATAATATCAGCTTATAGTATGACATGGTTATCCCGTATCATCTAATATATTCGGTATCCAATATCTCGGTCGTAACTAGGAGATTATAGGGGAAAGGCGCGCTATCAACTAGTAGTCGTGCCCGAGAGCAGGCGAACGACAGCAGGAGGAGTGCCTTTGGATGAGGCGGTTATCAAGCGGTTAACTCCGGTAAGGAACTGACGGGGAAGGGAAATGCTGTTGACAAGCTAGATAGACGTAAATTATTGGTTATGAGCGGCCCTATAGAGATGTATCAGTGTTCGTTCTTAAGAGAGCCGCGTGCTCTATTGCATGTAGCAGATCAAAGTCAATGTGTGCGAAGATGAAGCCGTAAGTCCCTTTCTGCACGCCCTGTTCATCTTTAAAGAGTGTCCTCACGTTGCTTAGAGAGGGGCCAGCAATGCCAATCCAGAACCCATATGCTTGCAATGGTGGCCAATTAAATCCCGCAAGTCATGAGACGGAGGCCGAGAGAGCATGGTATGATAACCGCCATAGATGATCGAAATGTACCATGTCCCAGTACTTTGGTTGGTCCAGCCATCAACTGCGAAGATCCTTCTCCGGACGACTGGCAGGATCAAACCCTGCAGACGCTGACCCTGCAAGGCTGCAGCAGCAACGCCATGGATGGCACAGGACGCTCTCGCAATGACTCGCTATACACCCCTCCCGCCTCGGTTTCAGTCGTGCCACCACCAGCGCGCGTGATCGCCTCATCCACGGATCGATCCTTTTTTTTGTTCTCGTTCGTCCACTTCGTCCTCCAGGTCTTCCATGAACTTCCCCAAACCACGATGCCTGGCTGCCAAGAAGCCGTCACGCGCGCTCTACGTTGTAGTGTCCCTGCCGTCACCATCACCCGTGCTGGTGACTTGCACGAGCAGTAGGGCTCGCTTTTGATCTGATTTATAAGCGCAATCGGGATCCGGGGGTCCGATTGCAATCAAGGAGAGGTCTTTCGATTGATCAATCGGCCGGCCAAGATTGCGCTTGGATTGATTGATAGATTGATAAGCGCTTGTCAACATATTAATCAATCTAAGCGTAAGCGGTCTGCTTGTAATCCGGTTGCTAGATAGATTGACAATCCGCTTGCGCTTGCTGCGAACCCTGGCCGCGACGATGTGTTCGAGCCTGGAGAGGCGCGAGGTGCCAGTGTACGACAACGCGTTGTTTGGCCGCTTTTGGTGAGGCGGTCATGTGCCGGGGCGGGCCGAGGAGGGTGGCGGAAGGAGACGTATGTATGCGTCGGGGGAGGCGGAGATGGGCGGCAAGGTCGCGGTGGTTGTGATTGCACGGAGGTAATGGTAGTCCAAGGTTAGGGTCTCTGCGGAGGGGGGGTGCTATGTTGGTGTGTGGGTGCGGCTGGCGGAGGGGAGGGGCGGAAGGGAGGCAGACGTGGCCCTCTGTCGCGGGTGGGCTTGCAGCCGTCGAGGATCCAGGACTTGCCGATCAGATCTTGGCCCTGCTGTCGTCGGTGTACACGAGCGGTCCGATGGCTGTGAGGATCGCGTGGTCGTCGGCGTAGTAGAGGGGTCCGGTGTGTGTGAAGGGTTTGGACAGCAGGTCGTTCTGGTAGCCCACCAGCTGTGCGCAGAGGCTGCGGATGGTGGCCGGACCGAGCGAGTCCTAAACCGACTGGAGAGATATACCGGGGAAATTGTCGACAAGGACGTACTCGGCGCCGAGGGGGTTGCCTTCGACGCGGGAGTTCCACACCAGGACCTTTGGGGCGGGCATCTGCAGGACGGAACGTGCTTGGGTTAAGCAACGGCCGTGAGCCATATTCCCCTGCCATTTTATTCTTTTTAAAGTTTTGGTTCCTATTAAGTCCATCGACGCCACTTGGCTCGCAATCGTTAGGTGAGGCAAGCTAACGTGAGGGATGAGGACTCTGGCAATCACTTCGCGCCCGTTGTTCATGGTGAGGTTGTACACCTTCTGATACGTCATGTCGCTGGTCTTCTCGACGTCCATGCAACGGGAGGCACCCGTTGCGCGCGCCGCGACGCGTGCTAGCTCGTTCATGTCGAAGTTGATGCGGTCTGTCTAACATGCGCTTCTCGTTGGCCAGGAAGCGGCAGTCGGTGAGGCCGAAAACCATCACAACCGGTTCTAGTCTGGCATAAGTTAGAATGTTTGCTTTCCTAGCGTGCTGGGGGTTGAGAGATTACCTCTTGTTGGAGGACCGCATGGCGATGCCTGGGTTGAAAGTCCTCGGAGTAGTATGCGGAGCGAAGCACGATTGCGATAGAAGCGAGCAAACATCTTGGCACTAATGAGCATGTGAAACGCTGCTTGTGAGAACGCTACGATATCAGCGCGCAGTTTATATAGAGATGTAAAATGCCTGGAAATCCCTAAGACATGGCTACCATGGTTCGAACTTTTCGCGGTGGCATATGGATGTACTCCCACAGTAGGATCGAGAAAATCTTAGTTCACTTACGCAGGTGGTAGAAGCAGATATCCGGACGTAAGAATAATATTCCAAACCCTCCTACGTAGGCAGCGAGAGAAAATATCTGGATAAAGACATAAGTTCTACGACATTCGAAAACTGCTTCAGCATAAGTCATTATTCGAAAAGTTCCATGAAGGATGGCAACACATAGAAGCAGATGAGCCGAGAATTTGGACGTTGCGACCTCGACGGGCTCCAGACAGCGATATGCTGCAGGCAGTATCTGTTATCCTCTCAGCCTGGCTCGCGACAGCAAACTTCGCACGTTTCGAGTCGGTGGGATGAATTGAAGATGGGCCCGCGGACACGGAATACGCCGTTCGTCACTGGATGACGGGCGGAACCCCGTGCTTGGCCGCGGTCGAGCATGGCGCAATACAGAAGGCAGCTATGCGGCTCACCCACGACGGAAGCGGGCGGATCAATGCGGGTTGACGAGAGACGGATGTGATGATGCCGTGGCGCAAGGAGGCCGCAAACAGGGATCGATCCGGCGGGGGAGAACGTACTGCGGCGAAAGACGTGCGGAGGAGGGGGAACGGCGGAGGGTGCAAGGGGCGGTCGGGTGCGAGAGCACGGAGATGGATATTGCGCGGCTACGATGCGCTTAGGGGCATCCTGCGGTTCGAGTCTGGAGGTGAGTGTGCATAGACCCGGAACTGCAGGTTCTATTTTTTGGATTGGTTGAGCCGCGCAGTAAAGCGTTGAGAGGGTTTGGGGTCCGGGGTAGTCCGTACGGTGGCGGCCGTTCACTTCAACGTCGTGGCAGCGTTTCCACGCCATGTCAAAGCCGGCATCTACCATCAGAAATGCAATGCGCTCTCGCGAGTTTGGAGAAGGGAAAACTGAGACGGGGCTAAAGTGAAGTCCTTCCAGTTGCGGCGTGCGGCATTACTTGGCAGCTGCTGGGGTTGCGAAGATGACGACGGGGCAGCAAAATCACGTGTTGTGTGCAGAGCAATCGGCATCGGCATCGGACGCCATTCATGCGGTGAGGTGCAACACCATCTCGATGGTCCAGTTTTCGGGGGCGGTTCCGCAGCACCGGTGATGGATGGGAGCCCGATGCAGGCGCGGGCTGACGGGGGCCAGCCGGCCAGCCCACTTTTCGGCTCACAGCTAGCTCAGGAGTTCTCAGCGACGTGAACAGAAAGCACCGAGGTGCGGCCTCGGGCGCGGCGTCGTCGTTGTTGTTGCAGAGGGCGGCCAAGGCAGCGTGCGGCGTGCGGCGTCCAAATATTGATCTGCTGGACTTGAGCCGCAGCGGGACATGACTCAACGGGGAAGCTTCGCAATCGCAACAACTTAGGGAAGGTGTGCTCGCATGTGATGGGCTGGGGCCGATCCGCTAGGGCTGGCGGGCCCACCGCGAGAGCACGGTGGGTCTTGCATGCGCCGTGTTCATGGGGCAACAAACCGGACGCCAGCGGAGGCGGATGGGTGAGCGGAGACGGGCGGAGGCCAGAAACGGGGGGGGGCGAACGGCCCAGCAAACTCCAGATTTGCGGCGCTCGCTTCACGGCTTCTCCTGTTCGTCTCGGCGCCGCGCGCTGCTGTCTGCGGCCCTCTCCCACGCGCTTTGAGCCGCAAAGCCAGCGTCGTCGCGCGCCGTTGGGCATGCCGTCACCGGGCGGCCGTGATTTTCTCTTCCCTGCGCCACTCCCGCGCATGAGGTCAGCCGCATGGCCGCAAAGGGCAGCGCCAGCGGCGCTTAATTGGACGATTAAGAATTTAAGCTTGTCGCTGCACGGGCGCTGACGTCAGGCGTCGTCGCTTGACCCGCCTTGTTGCGTCGCCGGCCGCTTGGCATACGCCTGCCCGCGTCCATCACCGCGTCCAGCACCGCCAACGCCAACGCCTGCCGGCCTGGACTCCCACACCTCGTTATCGCGCACGCTCCAGTATGAAATCACCACACCCACAATTCGCCAGCTGCCCGGGCCATCTCCCGCACGCCTGGCGCCTGGCCGCCCTCGCCGCGAGACAGCCCACGATCTCCGGACTGCATGCCGCTTCGCGCTGTCCCCGAGCCCCCGCTCCGCTCGCTGGCCAGGAGCATTTTTGTGGTCCCTGATATCATCGTCCCTCCGCCTCAAGGGTCTGCAGCGCGCTGCGAGCGTGGACCGCCTCCATGGCCGCTCTCTTGGGGGGTTATAAGGGTCTGCACACTCCCCGCTTGACCTCCGCTACACCTTCTCCGCCTCACCCTCTCCCTCTCCATTCCCCGTGACGCACTGTTGTTTTTCGGTGCCGCACGCAGACCATGGGTTTCTCAGGCTTCACGCACACCGGCTTCCTCGGCGGGAAGATCGGGGGCAAGGCGCTGCAAATTGGCGTCTGCATCACTGCCGCCTCCGGTTTCCTCCTCTTCGGGTAAGCAATCACCACACGCCTCTCCCGCTCACCGCGCTCGAGCTGACGCGCCCAATCCAGTTATGACCAGGGAATCATGGCCGGAATCATTTCCGAGCCCATGTTCCTCAAGGACTTCCCCCTGATGGACAGCAATTACAAGGACGGCTCCATCCAGGCCTTGGTTGTTGCCATCTACGAAATCGGTTGTCTGCTCGGCTCGTTCTTCATCATTGGCTTCGGTGACAAGCTCGGTCGGAGGAAGTCGGTCCTGATCGGCACCACCATCATGCTCGTCGGCACCGCCATTCAGACCGCTTCGGTTACCATGGGCATGTTGATCGTCGGCCGCATTGTCACCGGTGTGGGCAACGGCATGAACACTTCGAGTATCCCCGTCTGGCAGTCCGAAATGGCTCCGCCCAAGATTCGTGGCTTCCTCGTCTTGTTCGAAGGTGCCCTGATCACCGGCGGCATCTGCGTCTCTTACTGGTATGTTCTCACCCCACACTTGCTTTCCCATCTGCAGTCCCATTAACAAAGCCACAGGATCAACTACGGCTTCTGGTTCGTCACGCAGTACGGATCTTTCCAGTGGCGCTTCCCCATCGCCTTCCAGGCCGTCTTCGGCCTCTTGCTCATTCTCGGTGTCCTCGCCTACCCGGAGTCGCCTCGCTGGCTGCTCAAGCACGGCAAGGAGGAGGCTGCTCGCGACATCATGGCCCACCTTTACGACAGCACCCCGGATGACCAAAGAGTCAACTCCGAGGTCGACGACATCCAGAAGATCAACGCCATCACCGGCGGCAAGAAGCTCACCCTGAAGGAGTTCTTCAGCAAGGGCCCCGAGATGAACCGCTGGCGTGCCACCATTGCCTTCTGCTCTCAAGCATTCCAGCAGATTGGTGGTCTGAACTTGGTTACTTAGTATGTTATTTCCCACCTCCTTCCCCACACCCCTTTCAAGGTGCTAACAAGCTCTTAGCTACGCCACCACCGTCTTCGAGGACTCTCTCGGTTTCGATGCTGAGCTTTCCCGTTTGATGACGGGCTGTCTGGGAACCGAATTCTTCATCGCTGCCCTCGTCGCCCTCTTCATCGTCGATCGCCTTGGTCGCCGCACGCTCATGCTGTGGGGTGCCGTCGGCATGGCCATCTCCCTGCTCATCGTCGGCGCTTGCCTTGCGCCCGGCACGAAGCCCGCCGCCCTGGCCGCGACCGTCTTCATCTTCGTCTACAACTCGTTCTTCGCCATGGGCTGGCTCGGCGTCACTTGGCTGTAAGTTGTTCCATTGACTCCACCTCGCTGGAATCGACACTGACTGGCAATAAAGGTATCCGGCCGAGATCACTCCCATCCGTATCCGTGCCGAGGCCAACGGTCTCTCGACCAGCGCCAACTGGATCTTCAACTACGCCGTCGTGCAGCTCGCGCCCATCATGATCAACAAGATCGCCTGGGAGACGTACTTCGTCTTCATGTGCTTCAACTTTGCCTTCATTCCGATCGTCTACTTCACTTTCGTCGAGACCAACGGTAAGCATCCATCCCTCGACAACAAGACCGAGCAATCGGCTAACGGAGCATGTTACCAGGCTACCCTCTCGAAAAGATGGACGCCATCTTCGCCGAGGCGTACGAGAAGAACGAGAACCCGGTGTGGACGGAGCGTCGTGTGCGCAAGGGCGAGGTGCTCGATGTCGAGAAGACGATCGAGGACGCCGAGCGCCTGGCCGAGAACCGCGGCGAGGTGCCGCGCCGCAGCCAGGAGAACTCGGATTCGGATTGGGAGAAGAGCCGGAGCAACCAGAAGGAGACGAACTGATTTTCTTAGTTTGTCGTGTCGTCTCCGTTGCGCTCGGGCGCGTTCGCTTGAGAAAGCGAGTGAGCTTGCTATGCACGTGCAAGTAGCGTTGCCTTTTTCCGGTTGTTTGTTTTTTTGTCCTTTCTCTTATGATACCATGATGCATGTAAGCGATATAGGTATTGGTGGTGGATGTTAACTGTATGAATAGTTTGTGATGATACCAACAATGGGCTGTATGTAGTAGCCAGGTCTTCGGACGAGTATACAGAAAAAACCAAAACTTTTATGACGACTCGGATTCACCGATGCGAACACCACTCGTGATTCTGTTGTTGGATGAACAGTCCACGCACTTCGGCTCTTCGTCTACGAATTACTACCGGTCATTTGAAGAAGTTTGTCGCTTACTACTAGCAGGTCGTCTCATCGACGTAAGTATATCTATCCACTGACCATCCCAGACCAAACCCCTCCTACCCTCAGCGGGCCTGCCTGCACGGGCGCGGTGCAGTTGGTAACCATACGAACAACGTCTCCAGGTTCAAAGAATCGAGCTCCACACTACCAACTAACATAGGGAGTGGGATTTCCATGCCCGCCGGTCGCGTTCACGGGTTCGTTCGATACTTTGCATATATCTTCAGTCTTCACCCCCCCCCCCC